CTCTCTCTCTCTCTCTCTCTCTCTCTCTCTGTGTGTGTGTGTGTGTGTGTGTGTGTGTGTGTGTGTGTGTATGTTCATTCTCTTTCCCATTTGAATAGAGACGCACCAAGGCACGAATTTGTCCACATTCTTTTGAATCCTGGATAAATAGCGACCTACTTAAGGCAGTGCCCATCACAAGGTCAGTACTCAGGAAACTTCCCATGCTGAATGAGACTTCTAATTCTTGTATAATGCCAAGTGTTAAATTTTTACTTAAAGATAAAAAAGAAGAGAAGCACAAGATAAGGCATGAGACTATTAGGCATATTAACCAGTTTATTATAGGCCTGGCAGAGTAGGGAGACTAAGAGAGAGGAACATGGTTAATGGCTGACAGAGAGAGAGAGAGAGAGAGAGAGAGAGAGAGAGAGAGAGAGAGAGAGAGAGAGAATAGGTGGGAGAAGAGAAGAGCAGAGAGACGAGTAGAAGAGTAGAGAGAGAGTCAATGGGCAGGGATCTGTCTTTTAGAGGGGTCCTCTGCACCTGTGTGCAGACTTAGTTCCCATGGAACCCTGGGCTGACCAGGGTACTGCCTGAGCGGATTCTGCCAGGTAACAGGGGCAGGCCAGCATAATGCCTGAACCTTTCACCAAGAAATCTTCCTGCCTACTTTTCGAATTTATTGTGTGCATTTTTCTCCACTCTCCAAAACCTGAGTGCACTCAGGGCTCATAATCAGTCTTTTGTTTTTCTCACTTTATTCTTTAAAAAGCCAGGCAGCCAGTCCTTTTCACAGTTCAAGGAGAATTATAAGATACTGTAATTTTAAACACCGTAACAGGTTGTGAAAAGCTAAACTCATTTTTTTTCCCCTTTAGAAACACACAGGAGTTGACATATGTATTGCACAAACAAAAGCTGATGGGTCTGCCTTGAATAATAACAAGAGTGACCTTGAGATCACGTATTTCAATGAGTGACTGTTCTTAGTTACAGGGTGCTGTGGCATCTCAGTTGACTATGGAGGCACCTATTTGTCTGGTGCAAAACTGGAAAGAGCAGCTGATGCTAAATCCGGAGGCTATAAGGATTCTTGAGAAGATATCTCAGCCTCTGGTGGTGGTGGCCATTGTCGGCTTATGTCGTACAGGGAAATCCTACCTCATGAACCGTCTGGCAGGACAGAACCATGGTTAGTATTCTTTGGACATGTGGGGACCATTTCCTTGGACTAGTGCTAGGTGGGCTGAACACACTTTTGGAGGCTCATCCCTCTCATGAATGAAAATTCCCCATTCTTATCATTAAATTTATAATTTATAAAGGTCACACTATTTTGTAGAGTGATTGTTCTTCATCAAAAGACCACCTCAACTTTCCTCTTCACTCCTCTACTCTGGCCTGATCAGCAGCTGAACTGCTTCAAGAGTCCCCATTTTTCTTCTGTATCTTTGTCCAAACCACAAGAACATTCCAAGTATGAATATTGTTTCACCTGTCCTATTCTAATACAGATGGGCTGCAGAAGGACTGTAGTAGGGCCCTTACATATCCAACATTTAAACTGGACTGTTATCCAGTCTCTGGGGATTTGGCTTTGTTGTTTTTGCTATATTGCATTGCATATGAACATTTTCATGCTTGGATATAATATGTTTGAGCAGATCCTCCCCCCACCCCAATCTTTGCTTTTCTCCTTTCTCTTCCTCCCTCCAGTGGGCACTTTCATTCCTCACACATTCGCTTCCACTTTCATGTCATCCTTACATGTATGATTTGGGGTATCTGCTTAAATAAGGAGCCACAAATGAGAGGAAACACCATTATTTGTCTTTCTGAGGCTGACTTAATTACCATAGCAAAGCTTTTTATAATTATTGACAATGAAATTAATGAATATGAAGTGAGCATCCAGATCAATACCCAGATCAAGAAATAAAATCTGAGTAACCACAGGAACCCAAATCATACTCTCATACACTTCCTGAAGTGTCTAAATACCTTCATTTACAGGGAACACATTCATTCTTTATGTGTAGGGGAGTATATGAGTTTGTGTGTTGTACTGGTATGTGTACCATGTGCCCATTCACAGGCCAGAGGAGGACAGAGTGTCCTGTAGTTGTATCCATAGTTTGTTTCCACTACTTCATATCATGTTGTTGTTTGAGGATCCCATGGATCATTTATTCATTTGTTGATAATGAGCACTGGTGCTATTCTCAGCATTCCACACATCACCCCCAAACTGGGAGCATAATGATACATGTTTAATTTTTCTGAACTGTGCACTGCAGAGCTGTACGCCATTTAGCCCACGATAAATAACGTTGAGAATCTTGACATCTTTATTTCCTACGTTGTGAAGTGTGGTGTTTTCCCCTACTAAGTTGTCTCTTGTTCTTAACTGGCCTGTGGGCCAATCTCATGATTCTGTTTGGTGTTTCCATCTTTAAAAAGCCCACAGGAAGCTTTCTTCCTAATATGCGACTTAGTTTCTGCATCAATGATTCAGTTCCTTTTCTGATCGAAACTTGACTGCAAGACTCTAGGATCCAGGCATCTCTCCAGTTTTCCTTCTCTCTCCCCCTCTCCTTACTTCCTTTCTTATCTTTCCTTCCTTCCTCCTATCCGCTCTCCAGTTACTGCTTCTTTTTCTCCTCCCTTCCATCAGCGGTCCTCTCCTTTCTCCCCCTTTTGCTTCCCATTCTTCTGCCTCCTGCACAACCCATTTGCCTTCTCATTTTTCTGGTAGAGGAACTCTTGACTATCAATCAGGGGAAGATGTTTTTCCTTTCCTGGATCCTGGAAAATTTTGAGTGATTTACATTTGAGAGCTCTAAGACACATGTATTAGACTGGCAAGTTTCAACAGTATTGCTTTTATTTTCTACTCAATATAACGTTGGTAACTAAGGTAATTTCCTAGTGCTCTGTTAAGGGAGGCCATGGTTCAAAAATACTTTAGAACTCTGAACTATATTCTCACTTTCCCATGTTACAGGAGTAAAGAAAGAGATTAGTTTCCAACCAAGGTCCATGAATATGTGAATGTCACTCTTTGCCTCTGTGGGTGACTCACTGGGAAATACTTTATTTACCCCACACGATTGAGAAAAAAGGTCTCCCATCATATTTACCATTTTTTACAGCAGGCCACACATGGCGACTCATCAGAAATCAGGTACAAATGTCTGCAGAAAAGGGCAGACTTTACAGTGTCTCCTGTAGAGATCACAGAGTGTGGCAATTCTAAACCATGGTATACTAGGAATTTTATGCCATCCGTTTCTCTTCTTGGTTGAAGGAGGGAAGCATTATGTATGACAGATGTGCAATGGACACAGCATGTTGTTCACTAGTTCTGAGAAGTTCTCAATCCTCTGTACTGTGGATTTAACCTTTTGAAAATAAAGGCTAACAGGTGTCATGTGTCTCCCGTATGTCCCAAGGGAACCTAATGGTTGTTCCACACTGATGAGGCAATTGGCATAGAGGTCATCAAAGGAATAAGCTAAGGGAGGAAGAGGCAATAAAACCAAAACCAAATCAAACAAAACTGAAAGCTAATGTGCCCATCAAGGGCCTGGCAGGATAGAGGAGGAGCCTACTGTCCACTACCATGACCAAAGCATGGGAAAGTCAATGCCAAAGACCAAGATTTATTTTGTCTGGCAGTGCTGGAGGTTTCAGTTCCTGGGTAAATTGGCCCCAGAAGTGTTTTTAGGCTTGGTGGGGAGGATGGTGAATTTTAGCAGGAAGCACATGACGGAGCTCTGCTGCTGTACTGGTTTCAAGCCAGGCATTAAGAAAACAACAATAACAAAACCCACAATATTAAAGAGACAGCTTTCTACATTTTCCTTCAAAGGCACACCCCTAAAAACCTGAAGACATCCCACTTGGCCTTTTACCTCTTAATGTTTCCACAATTATTCACTTCACTGTTCTGTGGGGCAAGCTTTGAACTTATGGGTCTTTGGTTGATATTCCAGATCCAAACTAGCATGCACTCCTGAGGCAACTGAAGGATCTAGAACACTGGCACTGTTCACAGTGATGCAGGGAGAGCAAAGGGAACCAACAGGTGTGAGTGAGTACTTGGTGAGTCAAAACAGGAACGGCCAGGTAGGAATTGATCTCTCCCACTGTAAAGAAGCAGGGAAAGAACAGTGTCAGTGTGCGGTGAGAAAAATATTGACAGGAGCTACATGAAGGGAACTGTGAGCTGAGGTGAGGAATAAGTCATGGGCACACTGTAGCTCATATGGGTAGAAGTGAAGGAACTCATTGCCTGCTAGGTGGCCATTTACTGCTGTTTCAGTGGTTGAACTCTACCAGAAGGAAGAAGACACATGAATTTTTGGACTCAGATAAAAACACTAAAACTAATAAAGTCTAAACTAATTCTATAACACAGTCCATTCTGAGGAGTTGGAAGAATGAGGTAAGTAGAAGCCACAAGTGTTTCTTGGGAGAGTCTATTACATGTGGACTAAATTCATGGTGCCTGCTTGCTAAACATTCTCAGCACTCTATTATCCTTGGTGTGACCTTTTGCTGTTTTTTCCTCTTCCCTTCAGGCTTCTCCTTGGGTTCCACAGTGCAGTCTGAAACCAAGGGCATCTGGATGTGGTGTGTGCCCCATCCCACCAAGCCAACCCATACCCTGGTCCTTCTGGACACAGAGGGTCTTGGTGATACAGAAAAGGTGAGGTAGAATCTAATGATTTCTTGTTCTAAATTCCCAGGTTAACTTATCCCCTCTATGTGCTTTTCTTGCTGTTTTTGGTTATTAATAATTTTGGCTCTCTTTCTGGCAGACATTGTCATTGTGGTTGTATTTATATGTTGTCATGTTTATTTGCTATTGTAGAAAGTCATCTTCCAGAAGGCAACTATATGGAGATTGATAGCCACAAAATGTGTCTGTGCACTTTGTCAGGAGCACATTGTACCTAACTGAATAGGGTTTGTGTCTGTAATCATGACAAAATGTATAAGGCTGTAACTATCTGCCGTGTTCCAGGCACTTGGTAAATGTTTTATGCACACTGAATATTTTGTCTTTTTATCAGTAGTTCTGGGAACCAAATCCAGGACCCTGTGCATGCTTGCTAAACTTCCCACCCCTGAGCTTTATCCTAACTCTATCAGTTAACTTAATAGTTAAATAAGCTACTGCCCTGAGGGGGTTCAGTGTAAGTGTAAATAATGAGGATTGAATGTGGAATTATCTTCAAATTTTGTTATTTCTCTCAGATTCACTAATAATCTATCTGAAAGAATGAAAGAACAATTGGATGAATGAATGAATGTTAGACTCTTAATTTTCTTGTCTCAGGGTAACTCTAAGAATGACTGCTGGATCTTCTCCCTGGCTGTGCTTCTAAGCAGCACCTTTGTCTACAACAGCATGAGCACCATCAACCACCAGGCCCTGGAGCAGCTGCAGTATCCTTCCAGGGATGAAACTGTCATGTTTTGTTGAGTTTAGGAGCAAGGCAACTTACTGCTTCTTCTCTAGTCTAAGTCAGCAAGTCTTGGTTCAGCTAGAGTGGACACAGAACAAAGGGGAATAGCTTTAATAATTGATTCCACAGGAGGTATTTAGTTTCCTATCCTTAAACTACAATCTCAGCTATGTGACAGAATTAACACAACTAATCCAGGCAAAATCCAGCCCCAGAGAGGCTGAATTAGAGGACTCTAGTGAGTTTGTGAGTTTCTTTCCAGACTTTGTCTGGGTTGTTCGGGATTTCACTCTGGAGCTGAAGTTAGATGGATGCATCATCACAGCAGACGAGTACCTGGAGAATGCCCTGAAGCTGACGCCAGGTATCCATGAGTGAGGGAAGGAGAATCAACTACACCCTGCTCAGACTTGACATATGTGCTGAGACTGGATTGAAACCTTTGCTAATGCTCATGACAATAGACAAGTAGCATCATCCTGGCAATCATTATTATTTGAAAATATTCAGAGACTAAGATTTAAACCCACTTTATCTTAGGACATGTCATATCAAATACTTTTTTTGCCTTGCTTATTTTTAGTCATTATTTTAAAAATTTATTTTACAAACCAACCATGTTTCCCCTCCTTCTCTCCTCCCATCCTCCCTTTCACCTAACCCACTCTCCCATCCATTTTTCCTCTGTCTTCATTCAGAAGGATGTAAGGCCTTCCATGGGAATAAACAAAGCACAGCATATCAGGTTGAGGCAGGACCAAACTCTCCCCTCCCCTGCATCAAGGCTGCACAAGGCATTCCACCACAAGGAATAGGTTTCAAACAGCCAGCTCATGCATCAGGAACAGGTCCTAGTCCCACTGCTAGGGGTCCCACAAAGACCAAGCCCACACAACTGTCACCAAGATGCAGAGGGCCTAGGTCGGTACCATTTGAGCTCCCTAGCTGTCCTTCCAGAGTCCATGACCTCCCACAAGCTCAGATCAGCTATCTCTGTGGGTTTTCCCATCATTATCTTGACCCCCCTCCACTTGTTAGATATAATCCCTCCACCCTCTCTTCAACTGGACTCCCGAGCTTGGCCTAGTGCTTGGCTGTGGATCTCTGCATCTGCTTCCATCACGTACTAGATGAAGGCTCTATTTCTTCTTCCCAGGGAGATCCATACGTCCCTCATTCATCTTAGGGTCTTCCTTGTTACCTAGCTTCTCTGTGGCTGAGGATTATAGCCTGGTTATCTTTTGCTTTACATCTAATATCTACTTGTGAGTGAGTACAGACCATGCTTGCATTTCAGTTTTGGGTTATGTCACTCAAGATGATTTTTTTCTAGTTCCATCCATTTGCCTGCAAATTTCATTATGTCATTGTCTTTTTCCCCACTGAATAATAATACACTGAATAATATATATATATATATATATATATATATATATATATAACATTTTCTTTATCCATTCTTTAGTTGAGGGCCATCTAGGTTGTTTCCAGGTTCTGGCTGTTATGAATAATGCTGCTATAAACACAGTTGAGCAAGTGTCCTCATGGTATGATTGAGCATCCTTTGGGTAAATGCCCAATAGTGGTATTGTTGGGTCTTGAGGTAGATTGACTCCAAGTTTTCTGAGAAGCCACTATACTGGTTTCCAAAGTGGATGTAAAAGTTTGCACTCACACCAGCAATGGAGGAGTGTTCTTCTTGCTACAAGAACACTTAAAAAAATCATCCACCATGATCAAGTAAGCTTCATCCCAGAGATGTGTAGGAATGGTTCAACATACAAAAATCTGTAAATGTAACCCACCATATAAACAAATGCCAAGTCTTGTCACCTGAGTTTGACCTCTGGAATCCACAAGGTAAAAGAAAGAAACTGATATCTTCAGGCAGTCTTCTTCTTCCACATATGCTATGTGCTTGAGAACACACACAGACACACACATAATAAAAAGGAAGCTACTAAGGATAGGACCAGTAACAACTTTCAACAAAAACCCAAAGCCATTAATGGGTAACGAATTACAAAGAAAGAAAGAAAGAAAGAAAGAAAGAAAGAAAGAAAGAAAAGACAGCCAGATATTTGGCAAATGAGAATGTACACAATGTTGCTTCAATGAGTGTTCATTCTAAAAATGACTTCATAAAGGTGATTAAGGCTGGGGATGTAAAGCTATCAATTGTTATTAATAGAGATAATTAAAAAGTACACACATGTTCTGGGGTGTGCTTGTGTGTGGTATAGTACGACAGTTTTAAAGAGGATCTACTTCTATTTTTATTAGTTCAAATTAGGAACAAGCTTGCTTCACATGTCAATCCTTTCTCCCTCTCCCTCCTCTCCCCTAAAGCCCCCCAATCCCCCACTTGTCCCCCCATCCCCTTTCCATTCCCCAGGCAGGGTAGGGCCCTCGACGGGGGCTCCCCAAAGTCCACCACATCATCCTGGGCCGGGCCTACGCCCTCCACCATGTGTCCAGGCTGAGAAAGCAACCCTTCATGTGGGATGGGCTCTCAAAGTCCCTTCTTACACCAGGGAAAAATACTGATCCACTACCAAGGGTCCCATAGAGTGCCGAGGCATCCTCATTGACATCCATGTTCAGGGATCTGGATCAGTTCCATGCTGGCCTCCCAAACAGCAGTCTGGGGTCCATGCACTCCCCCTTGTTCAGGTCAGCTGTTTCTGTGGGTTTCACCAGCCTGGTACCAACCCCTTTAATCTTCATTCCTCCCTCTGCAACTGGGCTCCAGAGTTCAGTTCAGAGTATATCTGTGGGTGTCTGCCTCTGCTTCCATCAGCCACTGGATGAGGGCTCTAGGATGGCATAAAAAGTAGTCATCAGTCTCATTATAGGGGAAGGCCATTTAGGGTATCCTCTCCACCATTGCCTAGATTGTCAGTTTGTGTCATCCTTGTAGATCTCTGGAAATCTCCCTAGTGCCAGATCTCTCCTCAGACCTATAATGGCTCCCTCTGATATGGTATCTCTCATCCTGCTCTCCTCTATTCTTCCCCCAATTCAACATTTCTGCTCCTCCATTTCCTCTACTCCCTCCTCTTCTCCTCCTCTCATTCTGCCAGCTCCCTCTCCCTTACCCCCATGCTCCCAATTAGCTCAGGAGATCCTGCCCCTTCCCATTCTCCGGGGTCCATGCATTTTTCTCTTAGAGTCCTTCTTGTTTCCTAGTTTCTTTGGTGAAAAGGATTGTAGGCTGGTAATCTTTTGCTCTATGTCTAATATCCACACATGAGTGAGTACATACCATGTTTGTCTTTTTGTGACTGAGTTACCTCACTCAGGATAGTTTCTTCTGGTTCCATCCATTTGCCTGCGAATTTCAAGATTCCATTGCTTTTTTTCTGCTGAGTAGTACTCCATTGTATAAACACACTACATTTTCTCTATCCATTCTTCAGTTGAGGGGCATCTAGGTTGCTTCCAGGTTCTGGCTATTACAAACAATGCTGTTATGTACATGGTTGAACATATGTCTTTGTTGTATGAGCCTGCATTATTTGAGTATATGCCCAAGAGTGGAATTGCTGGATCTTGAGGAAGACTGATTCCCATTTTTCTGAGCAACTGCCCTACTGATTTCCGAAGTTGTTTTACAAGTTTGCACTCCCACCAGCAATGGAGTAGTGCTCATTTTTCTCCACATCCTCTCCAGCATAGATTGTCATTGGTGGTTTTGACTTTAGCCATTCTGGCCAGTGTAAGATGCTATTTCAGAGTTGTTTTGAGTTGTATTTCTCTGATGGGCAAGGCTTTTGAGCACTTTTTTAAGCGTCTTTCAGCTATTTCAGATTCCTCTGTTGAGAATTCTCTATTTAGTTTTGCACCCCACTATTTAATTTCATTGGTGTTTTGGTGGCTAGGTTCTTGAGTTCATTGTATATTTTGGAAATCAGCCCTCTGTCAGATGTAGGTTTGGTGAAGATCTTTTCCCATTCTGTGGGCTGTCGTTTTGTCTTACTGACTGTGTCCTTTGCCTTACAGAAGCTTCTCAGTTTCAGGAGGTCCCATTTGTTAATTGTAGATCTCAATGTCTGAGCTACTGGTGTAATGTTCAGGAAGTGGTTTCCTGTACCAATTCATTCAAGGGTATCTCCCACTTTGTCTTCTAGAAGATTCACTGTGGCTGGATTTATGTTGAGATCTTTGATCCATTTGGACTTAAGTTTTGTGCATGGTGACAGATATGGATTTATATGCGATTCATATGCATGTCCAAATCTGGTTGTACCAGCACCATTTGTTGAAGGTGCTTTCTTTTTTCCATTGTATAGATTTACTTTCTTTATCAAATATCAGGTGTTCATACATGTGTGGGTTAATATCAGGGTTTTCAATTTGATTCCATTGGTCTATCTGTCTATTTTTGTGCCAATACCAAGCTGTTTTCAGAACTATGGCTCTATAATAGAGCTTGAAGTCAGGGATGGTGATGCCTCCAGAAGATTCTTTATTGTACAGAGTTGTTTTGGCTATCCTGGGTTTTTTGTTTTTC